AATTTATTCTCCCCTTTGCTCAAAAACAGCCTCCAACAATCTTTGACCCTCTGGGTAAGCTGTGAGGCCCAAATCCAAGGATTTGCTGTGGGAGAGGCATAAGAAAGGTTGGCATTTGTGGGTGTGGTAGGAAAGCATGCTGTCAATAGCCAGTTTAGTCCTTGGTTTATAATTTTCTCGTCTTGTGGTGGTTATCCTGTAAACTTCATCCATGGGGACTTAGGCTTTCCTACATGGTGATAAATTGGAAAAAAAAAAAAAAAAAAAGGCATTGAAATAAGCCAGTGTATGAATGATTGTGAATTTATGAAGAAAATGACCTGGCAAACAAGTACATCATAAGTCACTTTTGCTAAAATGATCCTTCTAGCCTCGCAAATCACACACGTTCTGCAAGTCTCTGGGGCATTAACAGCATTGACAAGTGAAACAGGATTGTTGGGACTGCTGATAAAAGAACAAATGACACTTTAATTAACTAAGAATACTTAATATATTGCCATGCCTGTGTTACAACTGCAAAGCAAGCTGTAAACACCTATTAAAACAGCACTATTATGTCCTACTACCAAACTTTTATTTTCTGTCACCTTTTACATATTTTAATCTGAGATTCTTTAAAAGCTGTCTCTGCTGCTCTTACTCTCTGGATGTAAACAGATTTGTTAAATATTTTATTTCTAACCCACCCACGAAGTTACATTCATTTACATAACTTAATGAAGGCTGCATTATTCATTGAACTTCTCATATAACATTTTTCATAAGGCGTTATTAAACAAGTGAAGCAAGCCAGTCTAGTAATGAGCCTTCTCTAAACTTGCTGCCAGTGATGTTTCCTTTCTCCTAATCTATCACTCTAATGGTTGCAACTAATAAACTTTTTGAATCTTTGCTGCTAATCTGTATATGTTTTGCATTGCATGCTGGATGTATAACTTGACAGAGAATTTACAATACAAACCACCTGGGAAACAAAACTATCTGGATTAACAAATGCTATCCAAAACTACCCACTCTTTTTTGTTGTAATAGAGAAGACAACTACATGTAACATAGTACCTTTAAGCCATAAATAATGTAACTAATTTGGGGCTGGAACATACCCTGTTGAGCAGTATGTCCCAGATTTGTGACTGCTTTTTATAATTTCAAAAACATTGCCGAAAGTCAAGAGATTGGAGTTTGGTTTATGTGAATGTTCAGCAGAGACACAACCTTGTATAGGATGATATAGGATTGGATAGGATGCTGTTAGACTGTTCTAGGAAAGATGGTATTTAATAGTTTTAAGGTAAAGAAATTCTGCAATGGGTTGCTTGCACTTGGGCTACTTAATCTGTATTTTGGACTAAGTCAAAAGTAGTTGGATTTTCAGGGAGTCTAAACAGTGCACCTCACTTTGAGACAGATAGCAAATTTTGAGGATTTATACCTCATAAAAATAAATTCTAATACTTAAAAAAAAAGAGAGAGAGATGGATCTAGGGGCCTAATTTTATGCATATTAGTTTTAAATGACTGGGGCATATTCTTTTGTCAGCATCCACCCTGAACACCTCTGCCAATGTGTAGAATTAACAAAATACAGTAACGTTCTGTTCTCAAAGATGACTGGACACAGATTTGTACAAACAGATTAAAAATTTTCCTATAGCACTTAGGAAAGTATCATTTGAAAGTCATGATGGACTATTTTACGTATTATTAAGTATTTTACTTGGCACCTCTCCAAAGGTTATTCTAAATCACTGACCAGAATAAAATAAGAAAACATACAATAGATTGAAATGGGGTAGAACAAAGGGCAACCTTTTTGTCAGCTTCTCATCCTGCAAGATCCAGGAAAAAACTCCTGTAGTAAAGGCACAAAATAAAACAAAACATCAGAAATGTAAGTGCAAAACCTTAAGTATACAAGGCTTCAAATGATACTGTCCCTTCGATAGTTTGTTGGTTTTTTTTTAATGAACCAAAAGAAAGAATCCTTTCACAGCTCAGCTGCTGATAGTAACACGTCCTCATTTCACTAGGACAAAATAAATACATCTGGTCAAATTATTTTTAATCAAGCAATATTAATTTTGTTTTCAATGAGCATTCAGCATTCATTTGCACATTTTTGCCTTACTCATATAACCAATACCAAAATTCACTGTTACCTGTTTTGACCTTATCTGAAAATACTATTGCCTTTCAATCAGGAATTGATTTATCAAGTAGCGTTCCTCAATGTCAATTTACACCAACGTCTTTCTTTGATGTTATTTTTATTTAAGAATGGATATACCTGCATGTTGTTAAGAACCACACATTTAGCATCACATAAAGACCTCAGAAATTCTGAGCACCAGAGATGCTGCAGGCTAGCAGGAGCTATGGTTCACATGGGTTTAGGAGAAGTGTGGGTTTCAGTAACCACCTTACCCTCAGAGAAGAGCCAGCATGCTACATATAAATCACAGCTTTTTACTCCAGGATCAAAGCATAGCACCTACTGAATCACATGTGGTTTTTTGGAGAGTCAAAAATTTTTCTTTTAAATGATTAGGTTAACTAAGAGGAGGAATATGAAATACCACAACAAGGCCCGTTTACAAGAAGGGAGCAAGTGCTGCCCGCCAAATCTGGCCCTTTACTGTGTCTCAGTTTGTAAGCCTTGAGGCACCAGTCACTTACAGTACCACATCATAACGCTTGCTCCTTCCTCTGCCTGCCTCCTCCATCCCCACTGCAGCACCCCAGCACAAACAATGCTCACCCAGGGAGCTGGGACGAGAACCTGGTGCACCTGAAAAACAATGGGGGGTTTGGTAGATAATTCTCCAGCAAGTCAGCTCCCAGATCCAGCATAATAAAAGGAGTAGGGGCTGAGGGTGCAGGAGCTCATCAGCCCCTAAATAGCAGCCACAGCCTTAGTGGGTGCCCACACCAGGCACTGCTGAGCAGGCAGAGCTACGTATAATCATGCCAGAGCTCACCTGAAACTGGTCTGCAGCCAGCATCTAAGCTGTCAAGATACAGCTGCATAGAGGAGATTAGCAGGGGTTGTAAAACCTGCTCAAGAAGTTGGGCAAATATTTTAGCAATTAACCCACACTGAGCTCCGTATTACTGCAGCTACACTGCTACCATTTCTTGGGATAGCTTGTTTAAAGCTAGCTCCAAGATGCCTAAATTACACAGCAGTGACAGACCATTTAACTACAGAGATAAATTATACCGGGGCAGTGCCTAACATAGGTTATGTTGTCATGATTTACAACAGCTGAGGATGTGCCCCCAGATGTCCGGACAAAATCAAATTAAGTATATGATTTTTTTTTCTCCAAACATAAAAGCCTTGCAAACTTGATAAAAAGGAAACAGAGAAATGCATGTGTGACCTTAGACTTACACTGTGAAAGTGTTCGTGTTCTCCAGACAGCACTTAGATTGCCATTCTTTATAAAAACAAAGTATAAACTAAAATACTATGAAGACTATGCAAAAAGTTCCCAAGAATAAAAGACTTCAATTAAAAATAAACAAAACATTTAAAGAATATCAACATCTATTTGGATTTGCAGAATGTTGAAATGTTAAGGAAGAAAATGTTAACGAGGGATACCAAGACAAGAGTCTTGCTCTTCTCCAGACTTCAGATCACCTGCAGTTTTCTGTTACTATATTGGTAATAAAGGGGTCTTAAACTGGGATTATTCATCAAATCCCTGGAAAGCATAATGTTTTACATGGTACAAGAGGTCTGCATAGTAAAAATTATTTAAGATTTTAAAGATTGCCAAGAAGACTCAGGAATAGTCTAAAAGGAATATCTTTTGTATTTTAAGACTAAAAGAAATTTAATATGAAAAGGTCTTGGTAGTTACACTCATATGTAGGTTGTATCTAAGGTCTTACGTTAGAAGTTTATGCATTTAAAATGCTAGCTGGAAACACATCAAAGATACTATAGAAACACTCCTTAAAAAAATCCAAAACTTCATAGATGCCGTTAAACACCTGTGGTGATTTCGAGCAACTTAACTCCATCCCTAATATTTGTCTTCAGAGAACATAATGAAAAAGTGCCTGTTTTCCAGGAGCAAACAAAAAATTAAATTAGCCTATATGGTGCTATAAGTGTTAGTGACACTGAATTACATTGGTTTACTTTGTAGATGTTTATAAAGCCAGGCTATGTTGTTTGACTTTTGAGGGAAGACTAATAGGTGGGAGGGGGACGAAAAGAGCACAAAAAACCCTTATGGTTAAGCCAAAACAGGGGTCACGCCTAGGGCATTTTATCTGCCCTGCTTACACACCCCCGGGGAATTGCATCTCAACAGTTGATTCCCCGTTAATCAATTCACATTAGCGCCTGCCTTTTAGTTTTCACTTTGCTGAATTCCAGGAAAGAAGTTCTTAAACCAAATGCTTGCTCTATCTCTGACCTACTCAGAGCTGTTGCATTTTGGGAAGAAATCACAGCAGATTTTATTTGCTCTGCCAGCTGATAATAGACACCTTCAGACGTAAAGATTCAAAAGCTTCATAGCCAGCAGACTCCACACAGAACACGACCCAGTGGTCTGCTTACACAGGTCAGCAGTAATATGGGAGGAGAGGACTTTTATGGAATTTATTTTTCCTCACATATTTTCTCTAGCTATAGAGAAAGACCCATGTTACAAATTATTCTTCGGCTTCCCTTTACTTTCTTATTTACTATGGCTCGAGATTATGCGCTTGATAAGAAGACCTGTAGCACTTACTATCACTCCATACTGTTTTCAGCGAGCATGTACATTTTTGCACTGCTCTTGCCACTTACAGGTTAAAACATAAAACAATTTACTCTTCACAAGTGAGAACCACGTTGGGGCTGGGAGGCAGGGGAGAGTTATAAACATAGAAATAGCTCATTCACGAGAGCAGATCTGACTTTACATCCAAACCCCTTAGACCCATTGGTTAAAACTACTCTCTAGCATACACGCAGATCTTCACACAGAGGATCATAAAAAATAAACTTTATTATCAAACTTAAAATTCACACATTAAACATAAGATCTAGACACAAATAATACTGAAAACATTCTCAAACAATAACCATTTTAGGTAATCTGGATGAGTAGCATTGTTTCAAACGCCTTTAAGAATATTTCTTAATACATACACCATCGTGAAATGTCTTCAAATGCTTAGCTGGCCAGCTTTCAATAAGATTTTTAAATAGGAAGAAGCTTATTTCTATAGAAATAACATTATCTAATTATGAATCAGAGACCCATAATTGTAGTGCTTGAGGGGGAAAAAAATCATAGCCTTTTGAAATATTTAGAAGACATAAATAACTATTGTACATTTACAAGTTTAAATATTTAAAGGCCTTTGTTACTATAAAAAGTTGCTATGTACATATTAGATGCTATATAGAAATCCAGCCGGAGGCAAGCGTTGAGCTCTCAGATTTGGCCGCTGAAACCTATGAATTTGGTAGGCAGATTGTCCACAGGGTACACTATGGGGCCCGTTTTCATTGTAGGAGGTCCATTCAGCAGCTGCCAGTCACAGCTCCGAGCCAACTCCACTGTAAATATTTTCAGAAGGACTTTTGCAAACTCTTTGCCCACGCAGGTCCTCAAGCCCCCACCAAAGGGGATGAAACTGAACCTGGAAGAATCCTCTGGAGATGGAGACATGAAGCGATCTGGGTTAAACTCATCCTTGTTGGTAAAGAGATCTGCCACATCGTGGGTATCACAGATACTGTAAATAACATTCCAACCTTTAGGGATCTGGTAACCCTATCAAAAGAAGAGAAAGGAGACATGAAGCACCTTGCTGTGTTAAATGAGGTGAAGCATCAGCATCACATCGACATGTCGGTCCACCCCACCTCCCCCCTGGCTTCCTGCAGGTCTCTCCAAGGCAGATAGAGTACGTGAGTGCTTTGCAGCTGCACTGCGGAGTCGAGCCCAAGCCCCACTTACGTTTAGCTCAAGGGTCTTGAGTGCAATTCGAAATCCTCCAGGAACAGGAGGGCTCATCCTGAGGGTCTCTTTGATGACACAGCCTGTGTACTTCAGCTGCTCCAAGGTCTCCATGTCCAGCTGCTTCTCTTGGTTAGGACCACACAGTAACCCCTAGAAAAGAAGATGCTGCAATAACTTTCACAGAGCAGGTGGCCGAGGCTCCTGGCACTGCAAATCAGCTGCCCCTCAGTGGTGTTTTCCTAAACGAAGGCCACCACCTGGCTGGAGGGAAGCCCTGTCTGGGACACCTCTCTTGGAGGTACCTTCCCACTGCCCTCTCCCTTGAAATGGCTCTTGGGGAGACATGCACCGGGGGAGACACACACCTTCACCTGCAGCTCTTTCCTCACTTTCTGCAGGACATCGTGGTGGAGCCCTAGGAAAGCAATCAGCGACGTGGCGGCACTAGCAGTAGTTTCATGGCCCCCAAACAGCAGCTCTGTGGCAGACTCCTTCAGCTCCTTACGCACCAGACAGAGGAACACAAAACGGGTCTTGGATATAATACCCCTACCAGACCCACTCCACCACCATCTCACTGTGCATCGCTCCCAGACTGGAGCAGACACCCAAGGGCCAGGATGGGGGGGTGGTGCTTATAGTCCCTGGGGACATGGCCCTGGTCCTGTGCTTCCCCATCCAACAGCCTGGTTGCAGCCTCTGCGCCACAGTGCACTACACGAGCTGGTTTATTGCATCAGGAGAGGGGGCTGAGCCTCCTGCTTTCTTCTTTTGGCCCCAAAAGATAAGCATGCTGCTGAGAGAGGGGCTAGGGGAAAGGGGTGGATGTGGCCCTGGGGAACCTCACCTGCATGTTGAGCTGCTCCCCATTGCCCTGTGTATGCTCCATCAGCAGCTGCAGCGCATCTTTGTAGCCACCCTCAGGCTCCTTGCGGGCCATCTTGGCACGGATGTTCTCCTCAATCTTGGCGTGGATGATGTTGCGTGCCCGCAAGCCCTGGCCAGGCAGCAGGGACAGCAACGTGGGACTTGGGCCAATACTGCCATCCCTCCCATCCACTCCCCGCTGCCCTGGCTGCAGGGGCGCCCCTCTCCTCCTGGCCCGTCGGGAGCCTTACCCGGTAGAGCCCGCTGAAGGGCACATCAATGGGGAGGGAAAAGAGGTTGCGTATCATCTCCTCGAAGGCCTCCACCAGCTGCTGCTCGCCGTCGGGGCTGGCCTGGCGGGGCTGGAAGCCCAGCAGGATCCTCATGGCGATGCGAAACATGAGGCGCTTCACCTCGGGGTACACCAGCAAGCAGGGCCCGGCGGCACCCAGCCA